GAGGAGCTTGAAGCGAGCAACAAGAAGATCTTCTTCAACATTATCCCTTCATAGCATAATAACAACTCATAGGACTTCGAGGTAGCTCGCCTAGTGTGGCGTAAATCCCCATACTCCCTTTTTAGGCTCTTGTACAACTATGTGGTGCGATATGAGTCCTAACTCGATTTAGGTTCCGAGGTTATCGTACGTACGATGTAAACCCTCATTTCTCTGTGGGCTATTTGCATAATCGGGTATTATGCAACTGTAAGTCCCAAATAATAAAATTGGCAAGATCAAACACTTAATTAATTTCATCTCCAAAATGTAGCCACACAGTAGGATAGTTTGGGAAGTCACTGGGGATTCTCCTCAGATCAGTGACATCCCCTACCTTCTCCTTCCTTTGGACTCCTGAAAATAAGTGTTCCTTATTGTGCCATTCCCATTTGGTTTTCCTCATCCTACCTTGAAAACCTGAACCTTGAATTCTTGAAGACTAGAACCATTGATCATTATCGAGAGTTTTCTCAAGTGACTCCCGTCATTTGGGATGTAATTAACTATAGGGGCTTGCCTCTATAGGGAACTTGGAACCCAGGTAAAATAAACCCTATTTAATCTTTGTATTAAATAGGAAAATTTGTCGGTCATATATAAAAGATTCGCAGACCAAATGGATGTCACAAATCTCTTAGTTTGTAGGATTGGGCCTATTATCGGGGTCTACACTTTTCTCTTGGAATGTGTAGTATTCAGGGTATCAGGCACGATCATGCAAATTATTGGAATAATGAGATCCATTCGGTCTCATTTTTTTTCGAAAATTAAAACATACTACTTTCAAAACCCAAACTATATATCTATTATATTAAATTAAATTTCTAAATTTATTTTCAAATTCATATTTTTAAATCTATCTATATCGAAAAAATTGACCGACATGCCTCCACTTCAAATTACTTGGTACCCCATTTAGAAGAACTTTACTGTTCGTTTATGTTTCAGAGAATGACAACCAAGTTTTGACTAAGGGCCCGTTTGGGGCAGCTTAAAACTGCAGCAGTGTTTTTGAAAACGCCGCCTTTATGTTTGGTTCACACGTTTTACTTGTGTCAGCGTTCTATTATTTCTATTAGACGCGGATCGCGGGTATAACCCTGCGATCCAGCGTTTGAGCGAAGCATTTATGCCCCTATCCTCAAACATGATCCGTCTAGCGCTCTGCCGAGCTAATCCCTGCCGAAGGAAGTATTCCTACCTCTCCGCTGCTCATCCCTGCCGAAGGAAGCCGCAAACAACACTCCTACCTCTCTGCTGCTCATCCCTGCCAAAGGAAGCTCACTGCTGCTCGAAGCTCATCCCTGTCGAAGCAAGCCGCAAGCAACGCTCTTACCTCTCCACTGCTCATCGTTGCCGAAGGAAGCTCACCGCTGCTTGAAGCTCATCCCTGCCGAAGCAAGCCGCAAGCAACGCTCCTACCTCTCCGCTGCTCATCCCTGCCGAAGGAAGCTCACCGCTGCTCATCCCTGCCGAATGAAGCTGCAAGCAGCGCTCCTACCTCTCCGCTGCTCATCCCTGCCAAAGGAAGCTCACCGTTGCTCATCCCCGCCGAAGGAAGCTCATCCTTGCCGAAGGAAGCCGCAAGCAACGCTCCTACCTCTCCGCTGCTCATCCCTGCCGAAGGAAGCCGCAAGCAGCGCCCCTACCCATCACCGCCAAAGGAAGCTCACCGCTGCTCATCCCCACCGAAGGAAGCTCATCCCTGCCGAAGGAAGCCGCAAGCAACGCTCCTACCTCTCCGCTGCTCATCACTGCCGAAGGAAGCTCTAATTTTTTTTTGGTTGAACGATTTATCTCTGATTTTTTTTGTAGTAAATTTTTTTATTTACTTGAGCGATTTACCTCTGATTTTTTTTTGGTTCATGCTTCATTTACAAATTTCTTTTGTGAGACTGCTGAAAGTAAAATTTAAGTGTTAGATATGTAAATACATTGGAATTTTGTGGTATGAGTGTAAAAATGAAAGTTTTGATGTGCGATATGTAAATCCATAAGAATTGAGTGTTATATATGTAAAAATGAAAGTTTTTTGGATTTTAGTATATTGAATGTGTTCAATTATATTACTGTTGCGAACAACTCCACTGTATGTGGCTAAAATAATCATTTTTCCACAAACAGCTGCAAACCAGTTGTTCTCAAACCGCAGAAACCAAACAACATAATAGTTTATTCAATTCAGGGGCAAAATAGTCATTTATCCAGAAACAGTTGCAAATCAGTTGTTTTCCAAACGCACAAACCAAACAGTCAGCCAGCTTATTCGGATCAGCTGCTCATCAGCAGATTATCAGGATCAGCTGCTTATCAACAGAAGCTGGATAAGTTGTAGCTGCCCCAAACAGAACCTAAATTATGTTGGATAGCAGGGAGAGAAAAAATAGTGTCTTGTTAAAGCTTGCAAGGATGTTTTAGCTTGTTTTTTTTTTATTTTTCTTTAACATTTTGTCTTTGCTTGAATTAAGGAAAGTCAAAGAAATGAAATCATATCCCTATAATTTATGGGTTCATTATGAAACTACATCACTTGGCTTGAATTTCTCGATATTTCTTTCATTTCATTTCACTCAAATCCTCAACATTCAAACGGATCCTTCATGTGCTTGGATCATGATTTAAGGAAAGGGGACATATAGTGCATGAGCTCTTAACAATTAAGGGCTTGTTTGACATAACTTTTTTTTTCTATTTTTATTTTTGAAAATATGTTTAGTTAGTATAATTTTTATATGTTTTAATTTTTGTTTTATAAAAAAAATCAAACTTATTTTTAAAAACATTCAAAGCATCTAAATAATATTTTGAGTGTTTTTAAAAATAACAAACTCAATCAACCTGTTTTATTTTAAATTAAAAACAGAAAAAAAAACAGAAAATGAGAATAAAAAATTAAAACTGATCCCAAACGATCCCTGAGAAAAGAAGTTAATGCACAGAGTTCTATCACCACATTGTATAGAGGCTGTTACTATGGATTGAACCTATGACTTCCAAGTGAAAATAGTGATAACTAACCACTTTTCCAAGCCACGTACGCATACATCATGCTAACATACTGCTTAATTGACTTGACAAAATACTATGAATGGAAGAACAATTTTCTTTCATAGCAAATTCACATGCAAAATATATTTGACTTGGAGCATTCTTCCTATGAGAAGCATTAGGCTTCACCAGCATGACAAATCTCACTCGCCAAACCAAACTAAAGCGCTTTGCCAAAACAATAAGAGCTCAATTCATGGTAACAAGGGCTAACCGCTTAGAAATGCCAATAAGCCACATATACAAGTACATGAAAGCAACAGTAATAAACTCAAGTAAATAGCATAATAAGATAGATACCCCGAGAGAAACTCAGGAGATGAAGAAAGGAATGCACTTTATAGAAACCAAATCTATTTCTTTGGTTGGCATTGTTAGCTTATGTTGAGTTGTGTAGTATAGTATCACGCCAAGTTGTAATGTTGAGTAAAACAAAGGGCAAATTGGTAAATTCATTGTAAAATTGTTATTCAAAGTGTTCTACAAAATGTATTTGTTTGATAAGAGAACAATTTGTTGCGTGAATATGGATTCATTGAATGATCATAATGGATGCTATTACAAATATGATATAACTATAATATAATAAAGTAATCTTCATTAATATATAATTAGATAAAATAATTAATTTTACTAATTAGATAAAGAGATCTAAGTTGTTAACGTTGGATCCTAATTTGTCCTTGGACTCACACCTCAGGGGAAGAGTTAGAAAGAAGGGTGAGTGAGCAAGAAGAAAGAGGAAAAGTGTTCTCTTTTTTAGGAGAATATCTATTATCCAATAATTTGGGATCAATCATTCGTTACATAAATTTCCTCAACTTATAGATGATTCTTTACATATAATACAAAATAAATACTCAATGCACACAAATCTATAAGGATCTCTAACTGATCCTTTGTTTGTCTCATTTTGAAATTATATTTAATATGATTTGTGATAGTGTTATATCTTAACTTATGTTTCCTATGAACCCGTCGGGTCACCTCCTTGTCGGTCTACTCAGCTTTCATGGTAATTCGAGGTTGTGCAATTCGACATATTAGAATAAGTTGCCCTCCTCGACCAAGCTAATTCTTAGTCAATGAAAATTATCTAACCCTATTTGGTGAATGGGTTAGCTGATCGAGGTAGGTGAATGGGGACTCACACTCGGTAGCTAGTACTTGACTAGTCATACTCGACGGCTTATATGCAACAATAGATTGACTTGGCAAGATCGCTGAGTTGAGGAATTCGAGAGTCTGCCTTAGCTCGCTATCCATCCCTTGAGCCTGAATTTGAACAGGCGTTATTCGGCCATAAACTTAAAAAGCACTTTTCAAAAGCTAAATAAAGTAATTTTTCAAGAAAACTACTTTTTAGCTTTCAAACAACTAATTTTTTTCTCATATTTTCTTCGACAAAGCACCTTAAAAGTATTTCTAATATTCAAGGAGGAAGAAGCAGGCAACATAAAGCCTTACCACATGAAGCCAAAAGAGGTTGCACTATAGCAAGTTGGTATCGCACATATACAGATATTTTTTCAACAATGTTCATACGTATTAACATATCAAAAAAAGTAATCAACAGTCCAATTTCCCTAGAGAAAACACCCATTGTTTGGCTAGAATGTGAAAATGGTGGTTAGGAAAAAACAACATCGCCAAATTCTTGGCAAACTTTTGATGAGTACCAACAAAATAAATTCCATATAAGAGTTTATAGAGATGAAAGTTTATGCAACCATGGAATCACTATTTAAACATACTTCAAGGAGTAAAAAAATAAAAGATAGTCAAACATAAACCATGAACATAATCAGAACTTAACACAGGTAAAATACATAGAACTCACTTGCCGAAAATTAAGAGCTACTCCTGCTAGGACTGCAATCACTACAGCTATCAGCAATAACACAAACGAACCATTAAAGCGGTAGCAAAATCCAGCTGCGAAGCCACAGCAACCAACAACTAAAAGACAAACAACCCCTTCATGCCAAGATGAAATGTGCCTCGAAGAGACTTGGCCAGCAGCCACATCCTTCCAACGAAGTGTAACGACACAGGCTGAAACAACAGAATAACCAGTCTGCAAATCCAACATTCAAAAACACAAAATAACACATTTCGTAACCATATTAACGAATATATCACACAAATAACTTTTAAGCAAGAACGAAAAACATACCAGTGAACCAACCGAAAGAATGTGTGAAAGGGAGTGCACGTTAAACAGGCCTCCCATAATTCCCGCAACACAGCCAACCCATATCTGAGAATGTATAGGGGTGTGTCTTGTGGGATGTACTTTGGCAAAAATTGAAGGAAGCAGACCATCCCGTCCCAGGCCAAGATATAAGCGAGACTAATCGTATTTAATGTCAATTTAATACGTAATAAGTTTGAAGTACTAAATAAAAAAAATAAGTCAAAGTACTGAAGAAGAAGATAAAGTTTAGGAAGAATGCTGGAGAAATCACTCACCTGCACGTATAAACCGACAAGGAGAGTTGTAGTAAGACCTGCAACAGCCCCAACACTGATTAAAATGGAAACATATTGCATGCCTTTAGCATTGAAAGCTTGAGCCAGAGGAGCATCTTCATCGAGAAATTTATATGGAATCATCCCAGTTAAAACCAAGCAGACGAAAACATAAAGGAACACGCACACAAGGAGGCTTCCTATGATACCGATGGGCAAGTCCCTCTGGAGTGAAGAAAAAAATAAGGGAAATTTACATAGCACAAAGTTCTTATGTATTTACATATCTCACACCTAAACTTTCATATTTACATATGCAGCACTTACGTGCTTTAAACTTATTCATAAAAAGGTGTATTTACTTTTAAAAAACGGTAATAGTGCTATTTTTTATGTGATATTAAATATTTGAGTTCTGCATGTATAAATGTGAAAATTTAGTTGTGAGATATGTAAATACATAAGAATTGTGTGCTACATATGTTAATGCACCCAAAAAATAAAGGAGCATTTACATACATGCCACTCAATTCCTATGTATTCACATATCTAAGACCCAAATTTTACTTTTTATATTTATACCACCCAATCTTTCATATGAATCATTTCACATAAAAAATATCACCATTTTCAGTTTTAATAGTTGAAACACACTATTTCATGCATAGGTAAAGTGGTATGTACGTAAACTTGTAGGTAATTATGTGTTAGATATGTAATACGTAGGAATTGAGTGGTATGCATGTAAATCTTCCAAAAAAAAAGAACATGGGCTGTAATCACAGAAGAGAGTTCAGGATGAAGAAAGAACCTAGAGAATCACTGTAACAGAACTTAGATTTTAGCCTGCCATGAAAAAGCATTAAAGTTTGCAATGCATTTAAAAGTACCTGAGGTCTCTTAGATTCTTCAGCAGAATTAGCTACTGCATCAAATCCAACATAGGCGAAGAAAACTACAGTGGCGCCGGTGACTACTGCTTTAAATCCACTAGGAGCGAATGGCGACCAGTTAGACACATCCACTTCAAAAGCACCAGAAAGAATGACTATTACAACAATTATCACCTAGATCAGAAGAAGTGAGCACTACTGCATTAACTTTACTTTGGAGTGATTCCTTGACAACTATAATGTAAAATTTTTAAAAATTTCTAAAAGACATCACCATGAAAATAAAGGCTGTAAAAGATGCAAATTAATTGTAACACATTATAGTGAGATCAGGCTGTATAAGTGGAAACCAAGCACACCAAGCAAGCTAATGCATATGCAATCTTAACTTCAATCATACTGCTGCAACAATCCATTAAAAATATGACAGTAAGACAATAAACTATAGGAAAATGAAAGCTCGCCAAAAATTATGGGTGTGTAATGAGTTACTTTGGATGAATTAGTTCACAGATTAGTAATACCAAATGAAATCAAAATCCGAAATTACAAAAAATCGAACAGGCTAAGCTTTTGCAAAAACCGATCCAAACCGAGTTGAAATATAATTCAATTTAATTAGTTTGGCTGGGAGCAAAAATAAATTTAGCATTTGACGTAAAATAATTATAACTTAATGTTCTATTTCAAACTTTAAAATTTCATTTCCCTTTCTCATCTCTTCACAATCTCTTCAAAATTGAAAATTTCAACTAACCTAAAATAAACATGTCATATGCTCAATTTGTTTTATTTCCAAATGAATTTAATTTTCTAATCTTATCATTATTTAGTTTATTTTGGTTTCTTTGGTTTATGAATATTAAAATAGAACCAAAAATAAAAAATATAATTTTTTAAAACAAAAAACTCAAAAGTACTATTTTAAAACCTATAATAATCAACCAAATGAACCCAATTTAATTTGTTTTTTTGGTTTTGACAAAATAATGCATGCCCCTACTGAAAATTATAATACAGGGGAGATATTAAATAAGCTAAATATTATAATGATTTGAAGCTATCTAAGCAGATGATGAAGAGGCATACCGGAATAATTAAGAGTTATTTGAATTTATTTGATATTATCTGCTTTAATTGTAATTTCCTCTTTTAATAGACTTAAATGTGAGAAGTCAAAGTTTCCCCCTATATAAGGAGACACTTGACCTGGGGTTTCATAATTGAATGTTAATTAATTAGTGTTTTTCTAAAAAACTAGAACATATATATTGAAATGTTAGCAAAGTTGGTAGCCTTTAGCCTCTCATTCAACAACATTATTACTCTCCAATATATATTTTTATCAACCTTGAGAGAAATGATGTAATCTGATTAAGAGTTATTTCCATTTATTTGCTATTTTCAATTTTCATCGTAATTTTCAACTTTTAATAGACGTAAATATAATAAGTCAAAACCTCAAAGACTTACTCTATATATGGAGACATTTGACCTAGGCATACTAAGTGTCCTAAAAGCCCTCTCAGAAAATAGCTACACATTTCTCTCTCTCTCTCTCTCTCCTGATTTTTCTTTCCATTCTTCCTCCTCTTCTTGTTATATTCTTCTTTTACTCTTCATCTATTCTAATCTCACTTCCTGATCTACATCAAGAACAATGATTACGAAAGGGGTGTGAGTGGTTTCAAAAATGCTGATGTAAATTTTGCAACAAATTTGTTATTGAAGGGATCTAAAGTTATCGACTTCAAAAAGGTCATAGCAGCATGCTTGCGTAAGTATATTTACTTAGTGCAACTTTGAAAAATGCAAGAAAAATTTTGAACAAGGTCGAAAAGAAAAACCATTTTGCTCTTTTTTATGATTTATATAGAAAACAACCTGCTTAGGAAAAAAAATAATACATATAAAATAATTTAAAGAGAAGCATGATCCAGGGTGGCCTTGATCAAATTGAGTGTACCATTATCATCATTATCATCATTGTTAACCTTATTCTAACTATTTGGAGCCAACTTCATGAATCATCAATCTTCTTTCACTCATATTAAATGCTATAGTGCATGTTAAATCTAGTTGGTACAAATATATTTGTCGTTGGCCTACATGCATTTTTCTTTCAAGTCCTTCCAAATTAACTTACCAAACCAACCATATGGTGCATCTTCTACCTTCTATTTTATATGCTCAAACCAACTAGTCTATTTTTCACTATCTTATCATTAATGACTATTACTTCTCAAATCCTCTAATTGTATATATCCATCCTAATTTTGTCACAAATTCATCTGATTCTCGTTTACACCACACTCAACTTGATTATCAATAACTTTAGTAATGCAGAACATAAGAAAACATGGAAAATAGTTGGCCTAGTTACAATTATATAGAAGAACTTTATAAACTACATCTTCATCTAAATCACCATTCTTTAATAAAATAGATCAAAGATATTAAGTGAATCACATCTAGATACTTGTTTTCTAGCAAAATTAACTCATAACTATCAATTTCACACTAGCCAAAATTGCATATCATACATTAGGTCGTTATTCTACTAATTTTAGCCCCATTCTCTGTTTTACTCCTAAGAAATTCCTCCACAGCTGTAACTTTTCATTTACTTAGCAAATGTCTCACCAAATAGAATTGTTGTAAGCAAATAGCATATGCCTTAGTAGCTCTCTTTGAATATTCATTATGAGGATCTCCAAAACCAAATCTAAAAAGACGCAGATTTAATATTATTGGGAATAATCACTTCATAATAATTTTTAATTTCAGTCAATACTCCATCTTACATAACTTCAATCAATTTAACATATATTTGATGCAGACAGTTTTTCCTTAATAAGCATCAAATCGATTGTGATGGTGCTTAATTACATGCCTTTTTAAGATTAATATCTACTTTAAGATTAATTTTGTGTAATGTTATCTAGTAGAAATTATGGATCTTAGGTTAGCAATTGAGATGCCGAATTGTCTTCCAATCATTGGAATGTTGGTGGCAAGTGCTATTGCATACAGATTTTCCTACTGATAGCTATCTTGCCAGCCCAACAATAAACTTGAATATTCACTATCATATATGAAATTAATGATTTTCAATGAATAATCTTTTAGGGTTAAAATAAATTAAGTTTTAACAAGTAATATGTCTGCATCTGTTTTACCAAAAAAAAAAAAGGAATGTGAGAATATAATTGATAAGTATCTAAAAGTTGGGAGTTAAAATATGCTCTACATATGATAAGAAAATTTAATATAGACTTGTATGTCATCAACACCATCTTCATCATTAGATTTAACTTAATAATTTGGATTCTGCTTTAAGAAGCCTCCTTCATTAACTCATATCAAGTAGTACATGAAATATTAGTTGTGTTGTTTTTGTGCAACATGCTATACGGTCAAATCCTTCTACACACCATCTATTTAATAGATTGTTTCTCTTTCTTAGTTCTGCTACAAACCCATCATAAAAATTCTCATTTTAGGCATGGACATTTTGACTATTAATATTATTTTTTTTTCACACGACACATATATTCACATGGCACAACTAGGTTAATTACAGTTTATTAAAATGATTTGTTGGACTTCATAGAGTTCTCATGTGCATAATGCTCCTAAGATATTTCTCTGCCTTAACTATCCAACTTCAAACAAGAGTGGATCAAGTAAGTTTACATATTGGTCAATAAGAAGTCATAGTAATCAAATACGATAAAAATGAGAGTATTAAAAATGGGTCCGTAGTAAAATTAAAAATAGAGAGAAATGAGTGGAGAAGGTTGTATTAGAAAGATGGAAATAAAATTACATAAAAAAGATTTAAATTATTTAGGCGTGTATAATAAGTGGAGAAGAATTCATAAAAAAAGTGAGAAGATAGAGATTGAGGTTTTGTAAAAGGAATAGAGATGAGAAGAGATACACTAGATGTTAAACATTACAAAAACTATACAAAGTTTCTTGCATGATTTAATATGTGTAGCACTAAATAAGAATAAATGGACAAGGACTCTTAAAACATGTGATAAGACTATATGGACCCTAAATCGAGACGATAACCATTACAAATGTACATACCTAAATTAGTCTCATTAAAAGTTCTCAATTGTTAGTTATTGAGGCTCAAATAAATTATCTTCACTTGTATAAGGAAAAAGGAACTCTATGATCTCTATCATATTGTGGTAAAATAAAAGAATAAAGTGTCCAAATAGTCAACTGAAAAATTTAGATGGGACTATATAAAAGAGCCAAATTAATTATTGAATTTTTTTTAGCCCCCTTTAAGAAACTATGGGCCTAAATTGATTCTTTTATAAACTCTGGGACTAAAATGACCACCGACAAAGAATCACGGGACCATTTTGATAATTTTCTCTTAAAAAAATATGCAATTACATGCTAATAAGAATAATTAACTAAATAACCTAGCATAACGAAGTAAAAAAAATACCTTTAATGAAGTCATATATGAGTTTACTGCTGATGATTCTTTAACTCCACAACAAAGAATTACTGTTAAAATAAGCAAAAGTATCGGAGCCAAGATGTTGATGGACATAATTCCGCCAAAAACTTCAAAGCCTCCATGCCCAATCCAGCTAGGAAAAATGCCTTTAAGAAATGGAAAGAGCTCTAAAAGAGATATCCAGTAGCTGGCAAGGCTGCGTGCGATGCTTGCAGCACCAATATGGTAATCCAACATTAGCTGTGCAAAGACGAGAAATGCTGTAATCTCATTGAATGCAGTATACGAATATAAATATGCGCCGCCAACTACAGCAGGAAACCGTGATGCAAGCTCAGCATAACAGAGGGCATTCAGCACACATGCTGCTCCAGCAAGAATGAAACTAATGGCAACACCTGCACTGAATCAAGGGGTGCAAATTAAAAGAGCAAAGCAAAAACAACAAGGATGATTTACATAAATACCACTCAATTCCTACGTATTACATAACTAAACCTAAATTTCAACTTTTACATACATGCCACCTTACTCATGCATGAAAATATATATCAAGATTAAAAGTTAAAATGGTGGTATTTTTTATGTGATATGAAAGCTTTGGGAGGTATTAATGTAAAAAATAAAGTTTAGGAGAGACATGTAAATATATAGCAATTGGGTGGTAGGTATGTAAATGCCCCAAACAACAAGAATGGTATAAAGCTGTGCATTATCTTAAACCATGAAGATCTTAAAGCTCCAAAGTGACATTCACCTCTGCATCAAGTTTATCTATCATACCACTGGGATTTTTTCCTGCCTTTCATATATGTTCTTGGGAAAGTAGGGGAAAATCTTGTTCAGCTTGTACTTTCCAGAAAGTTAGACTTAAATGGAGAAGATTAGCATAACGGAATTGGGAGAACATAAATGCATTCTACTTCATGATTGCACATTGTGTGCTCAGCTTAAATGTAATTGATACGAAATGGAACTTATCTATGATTTGTGAACAACTGAACATTTTCATTTACAATTCCCTACCCAACATAGTGAAAACATAGAGAAGAGTTAATTGGGCTAAAAAAGCTAGTAAATATAACTCATCAACCAAATAAAAGAGGAAAAAAAAATCTTACTAAATTTCTCCTTGACAAAACAAATGGAGTCAAACAATTATCAATTCAAGTTCTTTACCATTTTCTTTTTAATCCCTTGCAACTACCTCAAACTTGGGAATTTAATTATATCCTAGTGAAACTTCCTTAATAATTATTTTAACTTCAAGAGGCTCAAAATAAAAATAGATTTACTCCAACTAGAAGATGGCTTGCTCCTATTAGTTTAATTCACCGCAAAATTGAATCAAGAAATGATATATACATATGTATATGTGTTTTTAATGCATATATACACATGCGTATATGTATTCATCATTGTATAATACGTAAATAATATATATGTAACTCTATAAGAGCAACTGGGTGTACATATCTAAACATGTATTAAGGAATATGAGATTTTGGTCCCATGTTGGTTAAATGAAAAATATGTTGGTGTAAGAATTTTAACAGATTAAATAAAGTTTAAAGATTTCCTCCAACTATCCATATGCGGCAAATTTAGTCTCAGAGTATCACACTTCTTCAATTTTGTTCATATGAGACTATATTAACCCCATAAAAATAGTTGGGAGATTATTTTGGGACCTAACAACATTGACATTGACTCTTACCCAAAGGCTAAAGTTGTTGGTAAATGGGTGGACCACTAGTGTATATGGCCAAACTCCAATTGCTTTTTTATCCGCTCTCTAACAAGTTGTATGAAAGTTTAAGATCTGATTAGGATCACATGATTCATGATGTTTGTAGATCACATGAGTCCTGACCGGCATCTACGATAGTTAAGCAAAGTCAGAAGTGGGTGACTCCCATAACAACTACATAGTTTAGTGGGCATTTGACATACAATACTTAATAAAGCTTCCAATTCATGATTTTTTATTGCATACGGACACGGGAGACAAATTTGCGTCCGGTGTCCGATCAGAACCATCAAAAAAATTTGAATGGGTCTCACTCTACAACAACAACAACAACAATAAAGCCTTAATCCCACTACGTGGGGTCGGCTACATGAATCCTTTTTCTCCATTGCGTCCTATTTAGTGTCATATTTTCATTTAGTTCTAGTAAATTAAGATCATTTTTAATACAATAAGTCCAAGTCTTCCTAGGTCTACCTCTGCCTTTCTTAACACAAGTCAAATCTAAAACATCTACTCTCCTAATCGGATCATCTAATGGTCGACGTTTAATATGACCAAACCATCTAAGACGACTTTCTCTAATTTTGTCTGTCACAGGAGCTACACCAACCCTATCACGAATATATTCATTCCGCATTTTGTCTCTAAGTGTAAAGCCACTCATCCACCTAATCATTCTCATCTCGGCAACACTTAACTTATTATTATGCTTCTCTTTTAAAG